AAATGTGCTTCAGGCTCACAGTTCCGATCGACTCGTGGCCAGGTTTTTGTGCTCCCTTCCTTCCCTTCTTTCCCACTGGTGCGTTGGCGGCGTTTTTCAAAAGCCATGATGTCTGGGGCGTTCGCAGGTCAAAGACAAATGATCGGTCGGGACGGACAGTGACACGGCAAGGCATAGGAGTGCCGACGACGATGTGTGCAGTTCTAGCATTAAACTCCTATATTCAAAAGTAACTTGTCAACATACGTCGAGTCTATGCCTCGAGCAATGGCTCCAGGGACAATTATGAAGCGGACTTACCTTGCAAAAGTCCATGGACTTAACACCTTTACTACCAAGCGCAGGACCGACTGGGGGACTCGGACTGGCCTGTCCGGCTCCAACAATCAGCTTCACGATCTGGTCGACAGCGCCAGCTCCTCGTCCTTTCGACATTGTGGCGGTTGTGTGGTGGGATGAAGGCGTGCGTAGAGGTCTAGCAAGAGTCTCCCGCACTTGAAGATTTTGGAGCTTGTCGCGATTGATCAATCCACGGCAGGGGTCTTTGGAGTCTCCACTATCTGCGGCCAGCCCCACTCCAAGTTTCCTCGATAACAAAAAAATTTGGACCTGCATCGTTCTCTAGCATCTTATCTTACCAGTGCAGTTGTATTTTCTATTCAAAATACCACAACTTTTGCCCTCGCCCGGTGTTACAAGAGAGCGGCCAATTCACTACGCCGACTACCTTTGGACAACCGCCCATTGTATTCATTAAGCGATCACATCTGGGACCAATCAATCACACGCGACCGCAATGCCCTCGACCTATAAGAAGGACAAGCCGTGGGACACGGACGATATCGACAAGTGGAAGATCGATGTTTTCAAGGCCGAGGACAATGTCGGTGGGTCATTCGTTGAGGAGTCGTCGTTCGCTACTCTCTTCCCCAAATACCGCGAAGTCTACCTGAAGGAGGCCTGGCCTCTAGTAACAAAGGCATTGGAGAAGCATGGCATCGCATGCACCCTCGATCTCGTAGAGGGTTCCATGACCGTCAAGACTACCCGAAAAACATATGACCCTGCTGCCATCCTTAATGCCCGCGACCTGATCAAACTGCTTGCGCGCAGTGTTCCAGCCCCGCAAGCCCTGAAAATCCTCGAGGATGGTGTTGCCTGCGATGTCATCAAGATCCGCAACCTTGTCAACAACAAAGACCGCTTCGTCAAGCGACGTCAAAGAATCCTGGGCCCCAATGGATCTACCCTCAAGGCTCTTGAGCTCCTCACTCAGACCTACATCCTCGTCCACGGCAACACAGTATCGGCAATGGGCCCCTACAAGGGCCTGAAGGAAGTGCGGAGGGTAGTGGAGGACTGCATGGCCAACATCCACCCAATCTATTACATCAAGGAGCTCATGATTAAAAGAGAGCTTGCAAAGGACCCTGAGCTCGCCAACGAGAGCTGGGACCGTTTCCTGCCCAACTTCAAGAAGAAGTCACTGAGCCACAGACGTGTACCTCACAAGGTTACCGACAAGGCCAAGAAGACCTACACGCCGTTCCCACCTGCTCCTGAGAAGAGCAAGGTTGATATGCAGATCGAGTCTGGCGAGTATTTCTTGAGCAAGGGTGCCAAGGAGAGAGCAGTTCAGGAAGACCGCAAAGAGAAGCAGAAGGAGAAGAAGAAAGACAGGGCAAAGGAGCGAGAGGCCGAATTTGTTCCACCAGAGGAAGGTGACCGTCCCAAGAAGAAGCGGAAGAAGTCGTCCGAATAAACAAAGCAAAACGAACCTGTATTTATTTTCCTTCGTCTCGGCGTATTCAAGGTATGGAGGCATTAGGCAGCATAAAGACATTCTTTGAAGAAACTAATTGTTACCCACTACCGCTGACTCGATCTACTCAGAGCCAGTTCAGGGAAGGTTGTGAATTCCTAGGCATATATCTTCTTATAAAGCTCTAACATCCTCGAATACCCGTCCGGTAGTCCCTCTCATAGCTTTGACGACTCAGTACCATTAATCTCGATGACAAGCTTGCCAAATTGTGAACCAGCCTTCATTTCCGAAAACAAGCCATCGATAGCCTCGAGGTTATCGAGCCCTTTTACGCTTCGACTAATGACTGGGCGAATCTTGTGCTTGGAAACAAACGTGACCATGTCCTTGAACTCCCTGGTCGACCCCATTGTCGAACCTTTGAGCTCGATATTATTCAACACTCCGAGCATAGACCAATCCATCTTGGGTCCCACGGTCATGCCATACTGTGAGATGACACCGCCAGGCTTGAGAAGCTTGACCGCCTTAGCCACAATATCGCCTCCTGCGCCATCAATTATAGCGTCAATAAACGGCCTATCCTTAGGAAGGAGTTCCCGCAAGCTAGCCTCCCATTTCGGCTCCTTGTAGATGATGCCCCCCTTGGCGCCTAACTGCTTCGCCTTTTCGATCTTGTCTGGGTCACCAGAGGTGACAAATACATTCGCGCCAAATGCAACTCCGAACTGCAGAGTCTGGAGAGCAACTCCGCCACCGACCCCCGTGATGAGGATATTCTTCCCGGGTGCCGCGGCGTTCGTCTTTGTGACCAGCGCGCGCCATCCAGTCAACCCTACCAGCGGCAGAGCGGCGCCTTCGACTGCCGAGAGGTGGTCGGGCGCCACCACCACATCTTTCTCGCTTACAACAACGTAGTCCTGGGCGGTGCCGGCTGGCGTGATCCGGCTGGAGCCAATGACTGCGTAACTGCGCCCGCCGTCAGGACCATCTGGGTCTGATTCCCAACCCCGCATGGGGGTCAGCAACACGCTCCTGTTGAGGAGCTCGGGCTGAGCGACGTTGCTTCCAAGCTCGACGACGGTTCCATAACCATCTGCGAGCATGGGGTTGTCAAATGAAATGGCAGGATACAGGTGCTGGCGGATGAATAGGTCACGGTGGTTTAGGGCTGCGGCTGATATCCGTACTAGAACCTCGCCGTTCCCAGGTTTTGGTCGAGGGTCTTCCCGCAGCTGAAGCCTATTTATCGTTAGGATATGAAAAATCGTAAGAGTTCAACACTATCAGGGCACGCAGACATACGGGTAATAGACTTCACCGGGCTTCCCAGCAACTTGTTTTATATGAAGCACTCGAGACATGGTTAATCAATACCCAAACTGAAAACACAACTAGCGGTTCTCGATTGAAAATTGAAAAAAAGAAAACAAATTAGGCAAAGTGGGTAGCCTTGGTAGCATTCGATATTTTGATAAAGAAAGAAAAAAAGGTTGCTTAGAGATCACACAAGCTAAATACATGTAGCTGGCTGCATTGCATCCTTGTACTGTGTCGGGTAGCTCGATGATCAGCTAGCAACCGTCCGTTCCCCGCCCTCGGCAGTCTATTCATCAACCGAGGCAGTTAACTAGAACTCATATGCCATCCAAGTTTTCCTCTCATCCGGAACTCAAGTTCCAAAATTGTAAGAAGTCTTATTTCTTTTACAAATTTGCCACGTAAAGGTAGCTCATCAAATTTCTCCCTTCCATTGCGATTTACTGCAACCTTGCATGCATTTCTCCCGGTATTTTCTGCTACCCTATACCTTTGACTTACATTAACATCTTAATAGGATAATGGCAAATTGATTGATGCCCTGGTATAATATCTGTTCATATTTTCAAATAGTCAGTTGAAATTGGCATCAAATATTGCATTGATTATATATATTTTAAATCCTGAAAAGGTTGTGGCGTGTTATTCGAAACTGGAGAGACTTCTCCCTGGTGAACGCGTACTAGCCCCATTTTCCCAGGTGAGCGACATTACGAATCTCTTGAGTCGTGGTATACTTCTCAAGGGCAACCTACCTATTTCCCGGAATTTACGAAACAACAGTTCAAACTGGCCAAGAAGGGACTTGGAGTGCCTGCTTCGCCATGGCTACGTTCCTGTCTGGCGCCGCCTTTGGAGCTGGCATCTTTGCTGCTGGCCTACATCACCCGTCTGTGGTTGCTTCACAGTTAAAGTTTGAGAACCATCAGTTCTTGCAAGCCTTTCTCACAGCGACAGCAAGCAGCGCGTTAGAAACCTTAAGAACGGACTTGTATCGGATTAAGCTAATCTTGATGCAGCGTCATATATAGCGCCGTTGAGCGTCTGGGATATGTGAGGCTACAGCCCAGAGGACCATCACCCCTCGGGTTCTTTGGAAGGTTTGATGGCAATGCTATTGGAGGGGCACTTCTTGGTGCCGGCATGGCGCTGTCTGGATCAGCGCCGGAAACATTGCTCGTGCAGGTCGCGGCTGGAATACGTAGCGGCCTCTTCGCCCTCCAGGGAGCAATTTTAGGAGGCGCTCTATGGGCAGGTCCCATCAGCACGGCAGTAAGGAATCGCAGGCAGAACATCGTTGTTCAGGGTGGTGCGGCAACCTTGAATGACCAGGTAGGAGTATCCAAGCCTGTTGGGTTGGCCATATTCGAGCTCGTCTGCGCAGGTGCCGTGGTAGCGACAGATACTTTCTCTGCCAACCCAACCCGGTCCAAGGTTTCAGGTGCCGTTGGTGGCCTACTTCTCGGTGCTGCGCAGCTCTTTTCTCTGCTTTCGCGAAGATCCATGATGGGTATCTCTGGGTGCTACGAGGAAGCTGGAAATATCTTCTGGTGGCTTGTGAATGGGGCAGACAGCACCAAGAAACCTGGGCATGGCTCGATCGTCTTCGGCACCGGGCTTATAACGGGGGCATTCGGCATGGCATATTTGGTACCTAAGCTGGGTGGAACGTCCACCTGGGAGCCAACCCCTCTCCTGGCAACTCTGGGGGGTGTTCTGATGGCCGTTGGATCAAGACTGGCTGGAGGCTGTACCTCCGGACACGGGATTAGTGGCATGTCACTATTGTCAACATCGAGCTTGGTTACCATGGGAAGTGCCCTCATTGCCGGGGCAGCAGTATCCTTGCTGAAATTCTGAAGCATTTCTCTTGTTATTACTTGATAATACTTGCTTGGTTGCACGAGCCCTACTATTTTGCACACCCCTTTTTGGCTGTCACTTCGATCTCAATCTTCATTTCCTCCTTCATCAACTTTGATTCGATCATCATGGCCGCCGGACGGACATCCCCGAACCACTTCTTCAATACTGGCCATGTCTTGGGGAAATCCTCGCGATCTGGAAGAACGTATTGCACACGCACAACCTCAGACATGGACGATCCGGCCTCCTGAAGGGCCTTGGCAATGTTGACGAGAGTTTGCTCGGCCTGCTCCTCGACTTTGGCGGATATCTTTCCGGTCTGGTAGTCATACCTACACGCATGTTTTGTCAGTTGATTGGTGAGAGGGGATCGGTTTCCCAATTCTTGTTACCCTGTCGTGCCAGAGACCATCACCCAGCCATCGACGACAACGGCGCGGGAATAGCCAATCTCGGCTTCAAAGGCAGAGCCTGAGCTGATGTTTATTCGCGACATGATGAACGTAGTTGATCTCAAAATTGTACCAGATTATTGTTCCACGGAGTTTAGAAAGAGAGAACCGAGAGAGAAGAAAAAAGTAACTTATACCATCTCGATGACTCAGTATGATATCTGTGTGTGGGGTTAGTAGGCTTCTCCGTATCCGGAGGAATACGAATCACCCAACTCATCTCGCAGTCGGATGCTTATGGGGAATTGATGATTTGAACCCCCTTCGGTTTCTTATCTTAAAAAAAGACCTGCCCACACACTTAAATTTTATACGGAAATGCAAGATATGGCACACTTGGAGAGGTTGTATCTGGGCATTGCATCATCTCGTCTAAAGCTGAGTGTTGTACATATATACTTTACATTTTAATACATCTGGAGACTCTCTCATCTCGAACTTTACCTCTGGTTTTACTTGCTCCTCTCATTGATGAGCTCCTTGACCAACGGGGCCAGGATTTTGCTCTCAACAACCTTGTCTTCAGTCGCAGCCTTGATCCGCTTGATCACATCTGGCATGAGGGTCTTGGTCTGAGCGCCCTCCGCGATGGACAACTCGATTTGCTCCTTAATCATTGGACGGAGCTGCTCCTCTCCCAGAACCTCAAGCTTGCTCTTGACGATGTATTCCTCCATGAGCTTGGCCTGCTCGAGCTCCTTCTCAGCCAAATCTTCCCGACCGACCTTCTTGGCTTCTGCAGCAGTCTCCTCGATGGAACGCTTCATCTTCATAATCTGAATCACGAGCTGGGGGTCGGTTCTAATGGGAGTCTTTGTCTTGGAAGCATTGAGGTTCGCGGAGAGGATGGCTCGCAGAACGGCAAGGCGGGGGGCGTCCTTGGCTCGCATGGCAGTCTTGAGATCGGTCTTGAGATGCTGGAGATACGGTGCGCTCACCGGGGTCTCATCGGCAGCGGCCGCAGAGTAGAATCGTAGTGATTGCCATGTTCGAGGTCGGTAGGAGGATGTGGGCACCGAGGAGCGAATGGCTTGGAAGGCGCGCAGGGATTGACGAGACGCCATTGTCGGGAATGATTAGATTGGATGGGTAGAGGGTAAGTTCGAAATGCTTCCTGTGCCTCTTAGGCTAAGAAGAACCCAGCAACGATCTGGCCGTGGAATGGCGTTGCGATTGGATGAGGGTGGGTGCAATGTGAAGCTCTCTGCGGCCAAGCTCCATAAAAAAGTTAAGAGTTGGGTTGGGGTTGTGTCTTCTGGATCCACAATCACTTCAAACTGGCACATTGAAATCATCAGCACCGACTTCCTCAACAACAATTAACCCGATAATAGATAAATGATGGGCATGGATATGAAATTTCAGAACATAAATTTTGTTTCGTACTCTGTTCTGAGACATGCCTAAGGATTGGCTGAGCGTAGGAGTAGATGGAAGTAGGACGATTTGCCATGGTTAAGGTTATGTATGGCTACTAAGTGCAGTCCTTAGAAATTAACGTGTGTATCTCTAAGATAGGGATTCATTCAGGGGGAGGAAACAAGTATGAGGAAGGCAGGTATATGAATGCCGCCGCCCGCTCAAGTCATTAAAATCCCCCAAAAGCAAGATGGAAGGAATGAGCTGAAAAGTGGTGTCACTACCTTTCTGAAGACAAGGCGTCAGCTTGACAGAACCTCATTGTATGAAGGATTACATATCTCGCTTTGAATTAGAAAAGCATATCTTGTTTGGAGGAAAGAGGTGTTGAAGTCGATATCAAGGTTCGTAGGGCTGGTCAAGAGAATGAAGTGAGGTAGGATTCAAGGGCAAGCAACACATAGCTAATAGAAGCCAGGAGGTAGAGTGGGATTTTTTTCTTTTTTTTTCTTTGAAGACATCCTGACCCTTGTCGGGTATCTCCAGTGTTGGTCGTCTTCCTATCTTGAGCGAAATAATTTACAATGCCTGATGTAAACCCCCGGTCTTGCCCTTTTCGCATGGATCTAGTCGTACCCATACTTGCTGTGGTCGACGCAGACTGACGGGTCCATCATTGCAACTCAATTGGTGCGCGTCAATACTGGAATGCCCTCATTCTAAAGGTCATTGACCGGAATATTTGGCACTGGCTCACAAATGGTTTGCTGTATACGATAAGAAATGAACATGACATTCCTCATCACCTGACCGGTTTGCTCCTGCACAATAATCCACTAAGAGCTAGGGTGAGCCGCGGAAGCATGCCGAAACTAGGATGACACTCAAGACAGGACGCATTTAGCATACTGTTATACAGGGCTGGTTCAGGAGAGCTGTTGGGCTTGGGCAGGGAAAGTTTTTTTTTATCGGTGATTTGTCCTTTCATATCATCATTTGGTGCCATCTGGTAGTCAGGGACGGGGAAGTAGAGCCAGGTTCGGAGATGTCCTTCATGGAAGGCCGTATGGATGCTGAGAGCATCAACGCGTTTGGATTGGGCATCAATCATAGAATTGGCACTCCAAATTGTGAGGCTGGGGACGTGCAGGTATGTTTATCCCGACGTTGTGCTTGAGTCAGGTTTCCCGCCACGGAGAGTGAGGGTTTTGAACCTGCAGATTCACAAGTAGTCAAAAGAATCTTTGACATCGACCTGTTCGTATTGGGCTTCGGGAATCTGTAATTAAAGCCTAACCAAATGAGATGTGACGGATGTGATTCGGGCTGCAGGTCTCCATCTCTACCTGGTCCTAGCCCAACGGCAACGAGGCCTGCCGCGTACTAAGTCCAAGCCAAGAGAGGAGATAATAATCTCCCTAGCCCATCATCAAGATAGATATGCTCAGCTGCCATCGTGGCTTCCTCCCCGGCCAGCACAAATAAATGCCGGTCGCCTGCTTTGGCGCGTTGTGTGTGGCATCCTGGTCCTGCATACAACATAAAGCAAGACGCCATCCGAGCACAGCCGCAGCAAGACATGCCAATGTAGGTACTGAGGCAAGGTATGTTATTGATTGTCCTAGGGGTATACAACTGCTGGAGCCACACTTATTGCCGTGTTCAGTGCCGAAAAGTCCCTGGATACAACGCACATTTTCTTCCCGGTTATCTTGGTCTCCTCCCAATGTCCAGAAATTCAACTTGCCTCCATAGACAGCAAGGTGAGACAAGGCGTTCAGGTGCCATGCTGCCCACAGAATTGTGCCTGGAGAGCACTGCGACATCGGGGCAGGGCTTGAGGTAGCAGGTATGATGCCTTTGACAGGAAGGTGGTGCCCATTCTTTCCGACCCACGGTCTTGCTCCCTCTTGCTCTGAATGTTGGTCGGTGCCTGCCCAAACCATTTCTCCCGCAAAACGCCCCCCTTCCATCTCTTTCCTCTTCCAATGCCGCACAATCTTTACGCAGTCTCCAAAAATTATTCAAATGCTGATGCCTAGGTGGTGGTCATATCCAGCAATGGTTGGGCTACCCAGAGAACTGTGTCCGCAACCTCGATCATTACCTCGCTCGGCTTCTCGGCTTCTTTCCGATGCACACGTATCTTTATCTAACTGTTAGCCCATAATTCGAGACCGATATATGATTATTCCTCACAAGGGAAAATATGCCTATATTCGAACCGTTCGTGGTCAGTGACGTGTCTGGATAGAGGTTGGATATCGGGGATTCCCACCTTGAACGACGGATCATTGGCCTCCGCGCTTGCATCTTCAACCAAAATTTCAAATTCTTCGATGGGCATTCTGTTCAACCTTGTTAGTGGATACCTCCACGTTTCGTTCGGGGCTCGCCATCAACCCTTTTAAATGCACCATTGGATATAAACCGATCGTTTGCAGCAGATTCCGGATGGTGCCCGCCATTGCTTGTCCAATTGCCCGGTCGCGAGGGCCTAATTGAAGAAACCAACAGTTAATTCGAATGAGCTTTCATCGGGGCACGGGGAACTTACTGCTCGACCAGCCGCACATGGGGAGTACCAGCAGTTTCGACTCAACCTCCGTGAAGCCGGCATTGCGCATCCAGTTGGCGATTTGCAATGGAGCCCGGGGATTCTTGTATGGTTGTACTCCTTGCAAGTAACTCCTTGACCATTTCGAGAGTGCATGGTCTATAAGAAGTGACCGCACTTAGTTAGCCATCGACACTCTCCTATGGGGAGCTTTGGCCTACCCCGAGTCAATCTCCCATTGTCGGATTGAGCGTTGAAATATATCTCGACCATCTGACACCACCCGTCCGGTTTGAGGACACGAAATATGTCCCGAATATAGCTTTCCCAGCGGTTTGCATTGATCCCTCCTGCAACCATTTGACTATGGACAACATCGTATCGATCCGATTGGAATGTGAACCTAGAATGGCAACAGTTAGTTCATCGTCAAGATTTAGAAAGAGTCTGGGATTGTCATTCAACCTTCCATTCAAATCGTCTACTTGCAAATCGAGGTTGTCTGGGGGATCTTCCGGTAACATGTGTGGGCTGGCATCGATTCCCAGGACCTAGGGTTCCCGCTGAGCCCTTGCATAACACAGAATATCACCTCTATTCTCTGGATGTTTGAACTTACCGATGCTCTCGGAAATTCTTCAGCTACGGCTGATGCCCAATCACCGCCCCCGCAGCCGAGGTCAAGAACATTGCGCGGAGAGGCAACGGGGGGGAATATTAGCCGGTTGTCGAAAACTTGGTTAAAGATACGATGCATTTGCTCGAGCCGCGTTGTCTCTCTCTGCCGAAAGTTAGTCGGCTATGGTGTCGAAGGAGAGACCCGATTTACCTCATCTACCGGTGAGAAATATGTCTCGTTGGTTAAGGCATACTTTTGGTACATTCGACCATGAAACTCAACGACCTCAGCAAAAGTGTCGTCCAGAGGGACTGTTCCATCACTAAAACTGTTAGTTGTGCTCTGTTCAACGTACCCTTCGTGGATCCTTACTCTGGCTCCATGTCAATCAACAGACGCAAAGCGAAGCAACGCTCTCGAGGCCAAAATTGTTCCTGAGCTTTTATTCCTGCTTGTTAAGCTTCCGGACTTGGAGAAAAGGTATAGACCAGGGAAATCGGGATTTGAGGTTTGGCTGTCTTTGCGAACTGCTGTCCACAGTTAGTCGTCGTGTAGTGGCTCCGAAATTCAGCGTTATGCCCTCCCGCACGCACAAGGTACTCTTATTCGTCCCTCACTGGCTCGCAACTGCCAGCATATGCAGACGCTGAGCCTTGGATCCCTTAGAACTGGTGGGGAGGGGCCAAATACTGCCAGCACATATGAACGGTCCACCGAATCTGTCGTATATATTATACTGCCGATCGTAGGCTGGAGGCACATAATATCAAGGCTCCGGTGGTGCCTGGTCCTACTGGCTTGACCCAGGGTCCACCCCAATATGTGAAATGTGCGGGCAAGGGACGGGAATGGGGAGAATACAAGAACTGGGGCAGCGAAGCGTGAATTGGGCAAGTTATTGAAGGCTTGACCATGCAGGCACCGAGCGCGCTTCTATCTTTCTCAAGCTTGGTTTCATACCCATGACAGGGTGAGTGTCAGTCTATGATTTGATGGCAGAAACATTTCATGGCGCCCTTTTACATCTCGAGTACTTCTCGCAATCGGACAGTCAGCAAGATGCCAGAGACATGGACATACCTGACTAACTGCGAAAGAGCCGCCTTTTTATGAATAAGAATCACAGCTAAGACTTTGTCCTGTGGATCCTGACTGAATGGCAGATCGGGTCAGCGGGTGGCTGTCACCATCAGTCTATTTGTTGATTTGATTTCATCCCTATTTTGGTTCAAATTGCACAGTCGGTGTTGTTGCTCTAAGAGCCTACACCACTCACTTTTTTATTTTAGACAACGCACATCTGCCCTGTGCGCACGCCTCTTAATTTAGGCAGAGTCTTGCGGTCTTCCAGGTTACGGTACCAAGCTTTACCTTGGGGGAAATATTCGGAGATTGGTATCCTTCAATGACCGTCGCTGCAAGCCCCAGGAGCGAAAACCAGGTCAAGCCAGCGTGGCGCAAAACTTGGCCAAGGATGTTAGTGCTACGGACAGAGGAGGGGGGCAGTCTCACGCACCGGGCTGCTCAGAACCCACACACAGGGAAGTAAAATGTTGAACAGGTCATGCAGCTAAGCGGTTTTTATTCCTAGTCAGGGAGCGCACACAAAACTGTCTACGGCGTCCCAGGAGCTTGGGTTTGAAAGCAAGGGATGGAATCGCGGAGGCGGAAAGAGAACTCTATGCCGGAAAGCCTCCATGATTACCATCTCGGATACTCCATTTGGGTATGGCAGGCCCTGTAACGTTTGATCACATCCTCGCTACCTACGGCTTGTATTGGAAATACGATCCCAACTAGGAGCTGAAGCAAAGTCAGCTGGTCAAAGTCAAGAATTAGGATCCAGATAGCAGGGGCTTGACGAGAAAAACGGGGCAACGAGCTCACGCTACCGGCGAGGGAGGGAGAAGCAAAGCAACCGCCTCCTGTCTCTTTGGGTTCAGTAGTATCGAACTACTCTTCACCGCCTCCTCAACGAAGGGTGGAAGACGGATGTTTCCCTCCTTGAGGATTGAGGCTATATATGAGGCATCTTAGGCTAAGACCTGGATTTTCCAACCCGGAGAGGCCGAACAGAGCTGAAAAGCAGCCTTAGCTGCTAGGCATGAATATGCCGCTTGGTGTAGGAACTCTACATTACATTTCTCTTTCATTATGGGAAAGCGACCCCAGCAGACTCCATGGCTTGGTGGATACAGGCTAATGAATGCATGAGACAGTGACATGGTGGATCTGAACTGTCTTCGGCTTCGACCGAGGACATGGAGTCCCTCATAAGGGCCGCGTTCAACTGTGGCAGTATGGACCGAGGGAGGGACATAATGCGGATTGTTGTGGTGTTCGATTGATGGCGTGGAGCACCCCGTACTGTCCCTCGAACCCAACAGTCTGGTTATTCGGCCGCACACATCTGGTGCTAGCGGCAATTTGAACCCCAAGGTCATAATTGACTGCATAGAACCCCTGCTTTGATCCACCCAAACGACACAGTTTTCAATGTCCCGCTTCTGGGTCATGAAGTTTCCTGACTTGATGGCGTGCTGGCAGGTTGGGGCACAATGGAATGGGCTTGAGTCTCAGCCAGGAAGCGTAGCAGAAGCTGCGGTTCCCATTGACTGACTGGGAAACGACTGCTCCTTGCTAAGTGGGAATGGCGATGTATCATGACGGGCTATCAGCTGTGCTCGCTCAACAAAGGTACCTCACATTGAGGAAACTTCTTTCGAGAAGTCGTTGCGTCCCGTTGCGGTATTTGATGAACCCGACTAGTAAGAGCTATCTTGTTAGTAACTCAAGTAAGATTGTTCTTCATGCGTTTCTCAAGCGATTATCCCATCTGTTGACCCTCCCTAGCAGGAAGGTCCTGGTTATGGACTGAGATGGGAATGGCCGCTGCGGCCCGCTGTGGTGGGATTGGCGGCCTTTGATGTGGGTCTTCCGCCCGAGCAAAGACGATCCAATCCTTATTCGTGCTGCGCTGGCGCAATTTCCTGCACTGTGGTGTCATGGGCCTCCCGCACAGCTGCAGACGAGATGGCTATTCTGTCTATGTTCATGCTAATTAGTAAGGAACATGCACTCGCTTTGGCGATCACACTGGCAATGTTTCGGTGACGAGGAGCTGGGCTTGGCTGGCGGGAAATTTATGCCACCGTCTATTAATACCTATCTGGGTAGGCTGAACGGGTAGGCACGTAATAGGCATGATGACAATAGCGCGCTTTAATGGGAACCGCCAGGGGGTGCCCTGAGACCTAACCAAACAGTCGGGTCCTGGCTCCAGCAATGTGGTTCGGCTTATGCTTATGAGTCATGGCGCGCCACTGAGCTGAGACAACACCAGGCACAGGAATAATCGGGAGCACGAAGGACTTGGCATTGTCTCCCTCAGGTCCGTGTTGATTTCTAGGGGAAATAAGCGCCCCGCAGCTAATCCATGAAGTGATGCCGACCCCCTATCCAGTCCCTCCGAATCCCCTGTTGTTCCATCTATTTTGTGACCCTTTAGAAATACATGCGCGTCTCCTGCTCCGGAGCGAAACTTGATAAGAAAACAGAGAGGAAACAGAAAACAGAAATCATATTGGCGATCGAAAGTCTCCACCCTGGGACCAGATGATGGACCGAGGCTCACAGGTCTTGGAAAGCCATTTAACGAAAACACCTTTCTCATACGCAACGTGATGTGTGTCTTGAGACGTTAGCGATCATTGAAACCCGCTTGGAGATATGTCTATCGTAGAAGTATGCAGGAGGTAGAGCGTGTACAGCTTGAGAGGACGGTACACGAGGCTCGGCAGACAATCCCCTGGTTGTGCTCTAGGAGGAGAGAAAAAAAACAGTAAAAAGACAACTTCTGGTTTTTTTAGTAAAAAGAAAAGAAACAAGGCCGTTTGTCGTCGTCTACAACGTTGTATAGAGAGAGAAAAAAAAGAGGTGGTGTACAGGCGTCTTAGCACCAGGTGAAGACTGGGCTTGTTTTGACGGTCTCGAGACGCTCGACGATGACTTTTCGTTGATTCCCCATTTGGCCCTCTGCCGCGGCGTAGCCGATGTCACCTTCGAGGTCGTCGCCGTTGTAAATCTGCTGAGCAATGCTGAGGTTGTTGTGGTGGGACCCCGAGGCGGTAGAGTACCTGCGCTGGTGCTTCTGACGGGCGGCGTCGTAAGGGTTGAGGGGCGGGTTTACGCTGTGGTAGCTGCTGGTGGGGTGCATTGACGGGCGCTCCATGGCTGGGAGGCTCGTCCGTGATGGGGCCGGACCCGAGGAGGCGTAGGCGTGGCGCTCGTTGACAGGAGACATGGCCCCGTCGTCGTTGGGCGTGGTGACCTCGAACCGCCCTGGGTGTGGCATGTCTGCCGGAGAGTGCAGGCCAAGGAGGTCGTCAACCTTGGATTGGTTTGCAGGCACTGACCCGGCGATGTCTGCCTCATCCATGCTGTCGCGCGGCTGGATGTTCCGCTGCGAGTCGTTTGAAGTTATGCGCATTGGCACTGCAATTGGCACATCTACCAAATCGTCCCAGACGCAGACTTTGGTACGACGGGTCAGCTCCAGGGGACCGTGATCCGGAGTCTTCAAGGCCTCGACGACGTTCCAGGCCTGGCCTTTCATAACTGCTAGTTGCTTGGCAAACATTCTCTCCTTGAAGTCGTTATCATTCTGGAAGACTCGTTTGAGGGCCAATGAAGTCTGGCTCCACCAAGTGGCGGAAGTCAGCAAAGGCAGAAAGTGATCTCGCGTCTTTTGAGAAAACGGCCGGCCGATGAGATCGACAGGTAAGAAGAGCCAGCCAAAGGGGAAGCTTTAGAGTGACAGATTTGTTAGCGTTGCTTCTGGGAATTTACGTCTACTTGTGTGGTTACACTCACCTTCTCCAAGCATCGGGATGTTTCCAGGGCCATGATAGGGAGTTGTCGATTGCGCCAAGGGAGATCTGTGGTGCGCCTTTGACTGCTCTGGTACTTGAGGCATCCATGGGTTTTTGGCTCCTGTAAGGATTTGAAGCTCTTGGTGCAGAGCTAGTTGGACGATTGCTCAAATCAACCGGTCGTGGCCCTTGCCCTTCTTCCTCAGCCACTGTCTCCATATTCATACGAATTGGATCTGATACCACTGAGACTTTTTCAGTCTCCCAATCAATCTTGACCATCCAGTTATCGAGACCGCGATCGGTATTCCTCATAATGTAGTCCAGGATGACGAGTTTCTCCAACTCCTCCCGGAAGGATTGCTTCAGCGGTTCAGACCAAGCAAACCGGTCTCGTGGTGTTGTTGGCTCTTCGTTGTGTTCGCCGTCACTATATTCGGCGTCGTCTAATCTAGGACCACTTGAAGGGCGGCAGTTCTCAGTCCATTTCCCCTGTCTCTTGTTCCTGTGCGTCTCGTTTGTGCGGAATCCAGACCAGTATTGATCTGGCCACGGATGCTCTCGGAGGAAGACATTAGCGTCCTTGAAGCCCTTCAGGAAGACCTGGAAGCTGCCCGGTTTCGCCGGCAGAGGCGTCTTTCTCTTTCTGAATTTGCGTCGATCCCAGAAGGGATAGTGAAACGATTTCGAAGAAAGCCAGACGACATCGGTGTAGGGGACGAGGTGCGTTCGCAGCTGGCAGTCCAGCACATAAGCTGCAGCTTCGCTCACGTAGGATAGATTGGGAATCAAGCTGTTCATGAAAAGTCAGTAATCGAAGTCTGGACGACGCGGCTATAGGCATCCAAAATCTAGAACGTACCAAGCTCTTCCAAAGAAGCAAGGGAACAAGTTCCGATGAATCCATTTGTTCCACTTCGGATTGCCGGCTGCATACGGCTCCTCGTCCTTGGGCTTGAAGACTCCTACAATTTTCCCATCCGGATCTCGCGCAAAATAACTTCCGGAACTTCCTTGAGAGATCATGCTTGGATGCACCTCTTGCCGGATTGCCACCCGCACGCTTTCGACTATTTCTTCGAACTCGGCTCTCGACATATGCCCGGGTTGCAGGTCCGCCATGTCCTCTATCGTGACGGGCCGCACCCCATCGGGAGGCTGAAATACGGAATGGTGGATCTCATAACGCTCTTCCTGGCCGGTACTGTCTCTTCCGCGGCGCTTGAATTTGGACGCGATTTCGTCGGCCCAGCGCTCGAGCCGGGCATTGATGGCTTTGAGGTCGACACCGGCATTGCTACCAACACGCTGGCGGAACTTGGGTCTCGATATCGAAGCTCTAGGGCTGTGTGCGGCCGAGCGGTGCCGAGGCTGGCCGGTTTGGTTGAAACGAGGGGGAGGGTGCTGCAGCGAGGCTGAGGACTGGCCCATGAGCTCATCGTCGGATTCGTCGCTGAACTGGTCCGCCTGGGCCAGGCGTTCATAGCCGGTCGCGGCGTTTCTGCCGAAATTCATGGCGACCGATGCGATAAAGAAGCAATGATGTCGATCCTGGGTTGTGTTGTGGAATGCCCATGGATGGTCAGCGGCGCGTCTGAGCTACAGGCGTCGTGGCAGCCTGCATCTGGTGCCGAAGCACAGCCGCGAAGCTAATAAAGGAGTGAATGGCCTGTCGTCACCTCCTACAAGGTGAGCTCCTCGACAGTGAAGTTCATTGACGGAGAATGGCGTCGAATGGATGCGCGTGAGGCGCCAGTAGGAAGTTGCGTGAATCAGAAAATAAAATAAAAAAGCCGGGAATCACAGATGCAACCTGTCGTCATCCCGCTACCATCGTAGAGGTAGTTGAAGCCAGCACGTGAAGCAGGGAGACAATCTTATCTAGCGCGAACAGCTCCATTCAGGGGACGGGTACGGGGCCCTATCAAATGACTACTAATTATTTGTTTGTTTGACTCGGATTTCTAAGGAAAATGTCTGGGCAATCTGACGATTTTTTTCAAAGGTCTCGAATTTTCAGAATTTCCCTCTCAATACCTAGATTATTATTAGCATCCCTCCATGTTAGCATGGATGTTATCAAAAGTCGATGCTACGTTCAGACACCTGTCAACCACACTAAACACTAAACACATATGAACCCACTGTGCCCCTCTCACCCCTATTCAGCTTGCAACGTGATGTGTTTGATGTGCTAAGTACGATTGAACCAGTGTTAAATATTGCACTACCAGGTTTATCCGAGCTAACGTAGCCCTTACAGCCGATCGACTTCGCTCTCCTCGAGCTCCTCTACTAGTAGTAAGCCTCGCTATGTGGTTAAGACTCTCGTCAAACCTCTTGGCCTATCGCTTTTCCTCATTCAGCATGTTACACAATTTGGGTGTGTTTAGGCGAATTAGCGCCTCATTGAACTTCTGCAGAGCGCTTGAGCAGAGCTACAACGGACAAAAGGGCAAATATCCATGACGCTGTTTCCCTGGTTTAAGGGGTGTAGGTCAATTCCTCTTCAATCTACGTCTCTAAAAGTAGTATCAAGTAAGCGAAGATACATCTAGGGCTTTTTTCGCAGCACTCCTACGGTGCTGTCATTTTATGAATAAAGCAATGTATGCAGATCTCGTGGCAAATATATTTTAAGCAGGTCCATGGAAGGCAGTACGTAATAAAGGAGACAACAAAATCCTAAATGGTCGTGACTTTATCGATCGATCATGAGGTCAGCCTGGGTTGGGGTTAGTTTGACTACCCCCAGTATTTGGAAGGAACCCAAGTGTTCCAGAAAGCGACAATCCCCCTCTATTCTTTTTTTAGGGTCGTAGCAAAATGTCAATTCGATCGACCGATGAGGAAAGTAAATTATCTGTGTAGGTATTTTGACCAAAGCCCAAAGCCTTTTCATAGTGCAGCTGGCTTCATTCAACCAGCAACAGGTCCAGACAAGAGAGTTACGGAGTGGCCTACAGAGTTCATCCCACTATTTAGACCAGTTGCTCAGCCACTACGACGGCACTTTGCTGTCGGCCTATTGTAAAACGTGCTATATCCCCGGCGCTAATGTGTCTACCGCCCATCTTAGAGCCTTTTTGGTTAGAGGAGCATGCAGTACGTGAAGTTGTGTTACCCTCTGTTACCCCTCTTCTCTTCCGTTCCGAGTAGGTGAGCATGTGCTCCGTAGGGTGTACCAGGTTTATGGACATCTCTCTCCTGGCATGGGAACAACCCTGCACTCAATTGGCAGCAGGCCTGCTGTTTTTATGCGAAAGGGGTGGTTGCTATGAGATAATGCTCTCCGGCCGCTGATGCTGTTTTATCGCCGTGCAATCGAAACTTAGGTGGCCATCATCGCTAAGCCCTGGCCTAGCGGAAAGTATGTTCAATGGAGTGATGACAATGACCATCTGGTAGGCTCCTGGGGGCAAATGATGGTTGTTCGGTGCGCTGATCCTCCACATGATCATGTGCTTCGCATGCTCCAGGCATCTGCCCATCTACACTAGGTAGCACCTCTGTACATTCGTGGTAAAATTGCGACGCCGGCTCGCTCCAGTTGACGTTGTCGCTGACGATCGGCCTGTCCTAGGCTCCGACTAACTACCCAGCCTTGCCCAGGCAACAAAGTTCGTGCTACGATGGGCGTTGCCTGACCATACCCGTGCTGGAGGCAGACGGTACCTTTGGGTCGGGTCCAGAATGTAGGCAGGCGTCGGTCGGACTCAATTGCTTACGGCACCATGCTAGACCCTCGAGAAATGAAAGGCGGTTTTACTTTTGTCGAGTTTGCGACTCAGACGAGGTCTCGGACCATTCCTGCCGGGATGATGCATGCCGCATGTCTAAGGGGTTTCGACAACATCCCACCTTTCACATAAACATCCATACCGACGTGGCCCGGATAGCCGTACAGGCACGTCCCTGACACGGTCTGAGGCGTTCGTTCTGTGACGCTCCCTGACGCTCGCTCCCACCAGCTTGGTCATCGCCCAGGATCCAGGAGCTCGCCGGCGTACACCCCAGGCCCTGCTAGTGACATGCAAAAGGATCACCAGGCCTCCTGGGGAAGTTTGGGAGTCTCCCCGCCCCGTTGCCGCGCTGCCCCCGGTCCATCAAGGCCACTTCTGGCTTGTTCCAGTTGACTTTGGTGGCTGCTGTTAGCGGTGACTCAAACGGCCTCTAACCGAAAGAAATAGCATTAATATTTATGGACCAGGAGTCGACGGCGCTCTGGTGGTTTGGTGGCTTTTGCTCAGCTGACCCTGTCAATGCCCTGGGACCCGTATTCACTAAGGTGATTGAAGATGGCGTCTGGGAGTGTCTCATTCCAAGTTATTTCATGCCCCCTAGCAATAAGTAAATAAACTAATTTTTGCTCCCTGGTTCGCTTTAAGTTCCCCTTCGCTTCCTCATCATTGCTCCTGTCCCCTTCTCTCCATCTTCCTCTCTCATTACGGAACAGCATAAAAAGGACATTCCCCCCAAAAGGAAATCCTACCTCGACCCTCCCTTAATAATCCACTGCAACGCCAACCATCCAACCACACCCTCCGACTCTAACCGTGTGTTGTATTTACCTTCGGCGTCTCCAGCAAAGCAACCATCCTCTCATCACACCAACATACTTCCAGCCAAGCTCCTGAAACTTATTGCCGTTCTTTCTAGTTCTCCGGCAGAGCTAGAGAAGTAATAAGATCATCGAAAACACCCTCCTAAGACGACCACATGAAATCCCCAATCACAGACGATACCAAGATGCTTGAGAACATGCGGGGACGTACCAGAGATCGCCGGCGAGTCCCATCTGGCTCCAAGGCAGAGCGAGCAGATGAATCAAGCACGCTGAGGGGCCGATCTCGCCATCGCGCCTCCTCGCCTCTGGGCTCCTACTCGCGAAACCCGTCGCCTTCATCATTGAAGTCCCCCAACCGCCATCTGTTCATCCTCAACCGAGTCCGCGACAGCCGACGAGAGCACTGCCCGTCCAGAGTCCCATCTCGGTCTGATAGGGCGGCATCTCTTCGGCGGGGACAGAGAACACGAAGCTGCAGCCGAGGCCCACAAGCCCGCCGAGCTGTGGACCATCTATCTAGCCTGAGGAACGAGGTCCTGGCTGAAGATGCCCAGAAACTCGAATCCGCAGAGCAGATTTGAGGACGAGGGCCTTCCCCCGCTCCTATCCACGCTTGAGCACTATCATCAATAATGGCACCATCACGAGAAACGACATGAGGTCCCTCCGAGAGGGTTACACAAACGAACCTTGTACAATAACATTAAACGAATACTATGGATTCTGGTAGCACATGAGTTTGGCTAGGAAAATTGGTTTTGAATTGCGTTTGCGCCTGACGAGATTGGAATCGCTGCTTGGTCTTTATTTCTTTGCTTATCTTTCTTTCCTCCTTGACATCATCAATGTTAGCTGGGCTGTTCTGGGCGTTGGATTTCACTTTACAATATGTCATATCTCCCTGCACTAATATTAGCAAAAGTGGCAGCTGTCTAGCTCGGCCTGGACAGCCGCACTGATTCCATTAAATTGAATAAATAGCAAATTTTAGACGCAATCTTTCCTTTCCGAGTGATTGAACATAAAGTCAACTTACACCCCCCAACTAAATCACCGTGTCGAACCGATAGCGATGTTTTTAGTGGAACCTTCAGCGCTCCAGTTGCCCGTTTTTAGGTCCACATGTCAGGTCAGACGCAACTTCCCATTGGCCTACCCCATCCAATGCTCTACAGTACAACGCCTGATAATCGTACTCCATGTCCAAAATCTTTTTCTTGATATCATGTTCGCCTTCGCCCGATCACAGGATCAAGACCGCGCGACCGCAATTGCCCGCCCCCCGACGCCGACCTGGTCATAAGGTCGCCAATAGCCACCTCTTTGGTTCCAGCTATGCTGGAAAGGGCAGCAGCTGGCTTTGAGACGGGCAAGCTTCAACGGGTCCTCCCCCGCGCTACACACCACTCGAGGAACAATGCTGCCGGTTTCACTCAGCAACATGGACGCCTGTTAGCCGGGCTCCCGCGCAGCCATACAAGGCCCTCCAGCCACCAGGTTGCTCCTCCTGATAGGGAGCCTCATCCTCGACATGCGAGTCCCCGTGGCGAATCGACCGATCTACTCGACTTTCTCTACCCCAGGCCCACTCACGCCCTCCTGCGACAAAGCCGCCAAGACTTGGCAAGACCTCGCAAGGCACTCAATGTTCTAAGTAGGATTGACAACCTGTGTGTCAAGTCTCCCGGCGGGAAGCGCTTCAATTCGAATAGTACGGCAAAGCCTCTTGACAACTCGGAGGACAACTTGGATGGTGCAGATTCGCAACCTGAAGCTCAATTGCTATCTGTTATCAAAAATGGCAAAGCTGAAAGCCAATGGAATCTTAAGAAGGAGCTTAGGACAAAGGATCTGTTCGCTATCCAGGACGAGAAGGAGCTCAATACCACTGTAGACGCCGTTGCTCTCACCGCTGAGGAGGATGTCAATCGCCTGCCCAGCCCGTCCT